CGGGCGGCGCATTTTAGGGAGGTGGGGTCGGCGGCGGTAGCGGCGGGGGACTGCATGAACTCGCCGCAGCCATCGAGGGCGTGGCCGCCTAGGTTGGCTGCGTGGTTTTTGAGGCATTCTTTGTAGGTGACGGCGGCGGGAATGGAGGGGTGGTGGTGGTGGTGGCGCTTGAGGACCCCGTTGGAGAAAGACAAGGTTTTTGTTGTTGCTGTGCGTGGGGGTGTGGGTGTGGGTGTGGGCGTGTTGATCCTGCTGGGTGTTTCAGTCTCATGATTTTCTGGGGATTTTGTTGCACTCGGAGTGTTGCTGATCGTTGTTGTTGGGGTTATGTCCATGGCTCAAACATCTAGGGTAAGTAAATTAAGAAAATTAAAAAGAAACAAGAAAAAACAAATAAAAAAGGTTAGCTTTTTAGGGTTAGGTTTTTTGTGGAGATGAAGATAGAGAGATATCAGAGTTGCATGAATTGAAGTTAGGAGCTGGTGGTGTGGTGCTGGGTGGCACTGTTTTATAATATAAAAGAAGTTTAATTTGGGAAAGGGAGATAAAAGAAGGAGGTGGAGGGAGGGAAAGAAGAAAAATGTGTTGTTGTTGTTGAATGTTGATGATGGTGTTGAGAGTGATGAATGATGAGTGATGATAATAAAAATCTGGGTTTGGGTTTGGGTTTGGGATTGGGTTATGTGGTTGAGGTTCTTAACTTAACCAGTTGTATTTTAACCCTGGTTCTAATCGATGGTTAAGATATTGACCCCACTGGAGGTTAGATGTGAGTAATAAATATGCGTTTGGGGTATGACCCTACAGTTTATTACCAGTATTATTAGTTATTACGACACTAGTGTAGGAGGGTAATGGGTTGATTTAATTTTGGGAATTTGATTTTGACTCGGTAGGGACTAGGGAGTGGAGAAGGAAATGAATAATGATAATGATGAGTGAGTGAGTGGCGAGTTGACTCGGGGGAGTTCTTAACATGAAAATGGTATGGCCTGCAATTCTGAGCCCATTGACTGTAACCCATCTTAATTTGTCAAGTTGGCAGTGAAGGAGGGGACGGGACAGCTTTCACAGTAAAATCATTGAGGTTTTTCATTTTAGGGATGCAACCCACTCCCCTTTTCTTTTCCTCTCACCTTTTTCTCTTTTCCTATAACCTTAACCCCTTTCCTTAATCCATCTTCCAAATATAACATTAGGTACAGAAGAATTACTTTTGTAGAAAAAAATTAAAATTGCTCAGAATATAAATTTTAAAGAAGTAATATATATATATATATATATATATATATATAATTAATACATATTGAATTTTGTATATATTTTTATGGGTTGAGAGTATGGCCTAATGCCCTTTTCATTTTTTATATACCGTTGCTTAGTTGGTAATTTTAGTAATCTCTACTATATAAAATGGATACATTAATTCTTTTAGTTTTAATAATTTTTTAAGGATATTTATATTTATATTACTTATCATTTATTTCACTATTATATCTTATTAAGAATAAAATGAAAAATAATATATATATATATATATATATAATTAATTAATTATTATCTACTTTATTAATAATAACTATCATATTTTATAATGACTTGTTTATTTTATTATTTTTAAGAAAATATATAAAAGCATAACTAGTAATAAATAGTAATAATAATAATAATAATAATAATAATAAAAGTTATCTTCTTAACTTGATCTATACACAAAACTAAAAAACTAAATAGAATTAATTGAATTCTACGTCTCCTGGAGTTGCTGGGAAGGGAGTTAGAAGGATCTTTGTCGGCATTACGGACATTGAAACGGTATCATGGGAAAGGAAACGGCGTCGCATTAGGCAACTGCTCGATTGGCCCCGACAAGAGAAACATGTCCTGAAACCGTACCGGGGAACTAGGTGGTACACTTTTCTATTACGACCAAAATGCCCTTCACACTTCTAACATATTATATTACTACCATTTTCATTTTAAGGATTTTCGATACCCAATTACCCATCCAATCACGTGCCAAACACGTGTGACTCTGCCTTTGGTTTCCTCACCTTCAAAAATTGTTTTAAACATCTTCAATATTAAACTTAAACGTATATTTATTTACCGTGAAATATCATAGAAGAGAGATACTTATTTATTATTATTTTTTGTTGTTTTGATGAGAAGCAGATTGATTAATTATTAAAATTAAGAAAGGGGAATGATATGATGCTTTACGGAACACAGTAAAGAAGAAAAGATGTTAAAGGGCACTGAATAAAGAGAGAATATATTTTATATTTAGGGGTGACGTAAGCAGACTAAAGACAGAGGAGCTAAAGTTTAACATGGAATGGCGTGTAGGCAAACGTTGAAATGATGCATTGAAACTCACAAATCACAAAATAGTGATACTATTAAATATTTAATTTTTTATCGTCAAACGACAAGGAAAATAGGATTTTGGAGAGGGAGACCTTGCACAGGCAAAGGCAAGTGAAAAAAGTTACGTCATCTGTCAGATTTTACTATACAGTAAAAATTTTAAATTATTCTGACCAAAACAACGTCTGGTTTCTTGTAATATAATCTCTCAGCACCAAAATATACATGTATCATGTATTCTTTAGCTTATTGTTTTATTTTATATTTATATTTAATATAAAGATGTAACTTTTATACTTATTATTCTATCATAATTGTCCACAACAAAATTTACTTGCTTAATTTTCTTTATTTATTCATGAATCCAATTTTTTATACTTAATATTTTTGCATGTTGATTTGTGTTAAGAATGGGATAGATAATTAGAAATTTTATTAGAAATGGTTTTAAAAAAATGCTAATTAACTTTATTCTGGCATGAGTTATATTTTGTTTTAATTTAATTTTTTTTTGTAAATAAAAGATTATGGCTTTTTAGAAAATCATAAATTATTGTGTAATAAAATTATTGACTTTTTAAAAACAATTACTTTAATGGTCATTACATTGTTTAATTAAAATAATATTTGATTATTTAATCATGAAATAATTATATTGATAAAAAAATAAAGAAATGTATTGGATAGATATCTCAAAAGATTTGTAAAAACTTTTATTATAAAAAATCATGTGATATTTAATAAAACAAGTTAACATAAAAAATTCATATGATACTTAATTAAGATAATCAAGATTTTAAGAATATATCAAAATTTGATGGTATCTAATTAAGACAAAAAGGATTTATTTTGAAAGTATGTTAAGATTTGGCGGTATTTAATTAAGATTTTTTTTCTCAAAAAAGGTCTATTATTATTTTAAAACATAAAAATTTCAATAAATTATTTTGATCAATTTTGCAAGAATTTTAATAAAATTACATATAATTTATTAATCCAATAATCTTATCCAAATCATTGACAATTCATATGACTTTTTTTCTTATTTATTTTTTTTCCTCACCTGTTTTGCTTTTTTTTTTTTTTCTGCTTCTCTCAATCTCTTTCTCTTTCCATTACTCCTCCTCTTTTCCTATATTTTTTTTATCTATTAATATTTTCTGTTCACATTTTTATCTATCAATGTTGACGTATAATTTATCAATATTTGTTTTGTAACTATATAATATTTTTAATTATTTTTGAATTATTAAATATTATATATTGTTAAAAAAAATTAATTATTGAAATTTAACAAATGTTTATAAGAGTGTTCTTTGTGGATGTTAAGAGAGAATTTCAATTGCTTCGAGCTAGCTCTTAGACGCTCCAAACAAATTCCAGCTATTTTGAGCTAGTTATTGGGTGCTTTAAGTGAATTCTAATCACTCCAAGCTAGCTATTAGAACACTTTGAACCATTTTTTGTCGCTCCAAGCGAGCTCTAAGGCACTTGAAGCGTTTGTTTCCCTTTTTAACTTATCATTTCTCAACTTATCATACTAAACTGGTTGTTTGCATGATGTATGATTAAGATTGAATGTAGTTCATTGTATATTAATCTGTGATGATGTATGATGATGATTTAAGTTGCCTAATGTTGTAAGCTTCCTACTATTATAAGTTGTTTACAGTTGTAAGTTGCTTAAGTTGTATGATGTTTTAAATTGTTAAAGTTGAAAGATGTTTATAACTATAAGTTCATTAAGCTGAAAGTTGTCTATTGTTGAGGTTGTGTGAAGTAAATATGAGTGTTGATAAGTTGATTAGACATGAGATGAATATCTAAGTTAAGATACATAACAACTAGAGAAGAGTAAATTAAGTTGTTTCGAAATTAAAATATTCTATTATGAGGATATAAATTGTGGTACTTTATCAACCCAAAGTTAAAAACCCTTCCTAAATTGGAAGTTGTTTTTAAGTTATCTCCTTTAAGTTTTATGTGGAAATAATATGAGAATCAAGTCAAGTCATACTAATTATAAAGCAATCAAATGTTGATTCATATTGGGACAAGGTTAAGTCATATATGTATAAAGTTACCAATTGAGTAAAGTATGAAATTGAGAGATAAAATCATTAATTGCTTGTTGGAAAGGTGCATAGTGTTTGAAGGGTAATCGACAGACTAATCTAATATGAGACTTAAATATGTATGTTAAGGTCGAGTAGGTTCATACCCAATTTGTTCTATCCTAACTATAGTACTAGACTTTTCTAATTTAAGTGACGAAACTTAAGGAATCAATTTAAGTTGTATATCTAACACTCTAAGAGACCTAACGTTGCCTATATTTGACCTGATTGTGATAAGTCATACGTTGTTGTTTGATAGAGTCTAGTCGCTTAAACTGTTTACCTCTGTTGTAGGAGATCTTCATAAGTTCATATACATGACGACGCATAAGTTGTTTATGTTGTGATTGAAGTTGTTTATGTTGAGAATGATATACATGTTGTAAGTTGTACTAGTTGTTGTGAGTTTTACTAGCTATTGAAAGTTGTGATTTAAGTTGCTTAGTTATTTTCAATTGATACATTGTTGGAATGTTGTTCCCATGGATGTTTTGTTTTAAAGTTGTAAAGCTAACATGATGGTAAGTTATTTATATTGCTTTGATATTTTTAAGTTGATATGTTGCTAAGTTGTGTTGTATCGTAAGTTGTCACGTTGCCATTATACTATGTTGATATGTTATTCATTTGAAACGATTATATTGCTATATTGTCATGTTGTGGTGTTGTTTAAATTGTTGTGTTGTTGAGTGTTGATAATCTCTAATATCTATATGTTAAGTTGTATGTTGAAAAAGTTGATAAGTTGTAAATTCATGGTGTAGGTTGTAATGTGTTGTTAAACTAGGCATTGGATCATAGTTGTGTTAATTCATTGATATATCATTTTTTCACAAGTTTACTCTTACATTTTTCTTGTTGTTAGATTGCAATAATCATGTTTGTTATGGGAGTAAAACATGATTAGATTGGAAGGCATGCTAGGTGGATGGCCATGTTGGAGATGGTTCTATTTTGTTGTGTTGTTTTGATACAATAATTGCGTTGAGACACTTGATTAACGCTAAGATTTTATGTTTTCAATATGCTTTACTAGATATATACTTGTATATATGTACATGATTTTATTTTAACCCCATAAAAAATCAAAATTAACAAGAACTATTTAATGTTTTTTGCACATGATACATATATATGTTATATGAATATCCAAATATTATTGTATAATAACTCTGAAATAGTAAATTCTAAGTTTTCTGCGTTGTTACTATATTAATTATAGTGACTTGATGGCTCATTATATATTAGAAAAAAAAGTTATACATAATACATCTCTAAATTGTATAAATTTTAATATACATAATTA